TCACACTTTAGGGTAGGGTGGATTCCACATGCGTTGGTGTCTCCTCCAAATCTCCAATGAATATATCGAAGGCTCCAAGCCATCTAAAGCAATGATGAACACAATTTTCCACAATTATAAAACATATATCCGAATCATCACGTATATCATTATTTTGAACTAAATACTTCCTTACAATTGAGCAGAAAAAAACGCAAAATATATCAGTTCATTGTTTGATGTTTCCAACTAACATAAACAAAATTTTCGTTTGAATATGTGGCAGAACCGCCTAATCTAATGCCTCCCAGGAGTGCTTGTCTTTCATTAGACACTAACCACCCAAAGGAGAACACTAAATTACTCGGTTCCGTCGGGCACACCCCAGGGGAGAACCCGAAAATCCACATTTTTGCCATCAGGATCACAAATGAGAGAATAAAACTTACACCATTCTTAACCATTTCATATATCACTTTTAGTACAACATCAGAGTATAATAGTTATTATATAACAGCGGAACATAATCATCTTATCAGAGTTTATGAACAATTTAATTAAACAACGGAGTATAAACATGTGATCAGAATTACAGCGGAAATGAATATCTAATCATAACATGATGAAGTATTGATAAATAAACTACGACAACAGATTATGAAACTTTAATTTATAAAAGCATTTGGTGAGGGTTATAAATAACAACTACGATCGCAGCGTAAAGGAATCCTCGCTGAGCCCACCAGGAGGTATCCACACACAAGAGTCAGCTCTAGCATCCACCTGTTACCTGCAACAGGGGGAAATAAAACCCTGAGTACTCAATTATACTCAGCAAGACTTACCCGACAGGAGAAAAGAAAAGACTCCAAGAATATACAAGGCTATCTGACTTGTGGGTTTATTGCATTTGTAGGAATCATTACTAAATGTGCGTCTTTATATTTGATTTTTATTAGCAGTGCATTGGTTCATTAACTAACAATTCTATGTAAGCACCTGTACTACTTTCAAGCAGGTGGTAAGCAATCAGATTTCCTTTTCTTTCCATCTTTCATCTTTCAGTTATTACTACGACGCTAGACACGAAACAAGCCGTACCGGATCGCCCGGCGATTCGCGAATCAATGCCCCCAGCTGGGTACCCCGAAAACACACGCCCCGCTTGTACCCAAGGCATAAGCAGGACCAACCCATCACTCTCCTGTCCCGGGTGTTCAGGTCCCCGTCCAAACTGGGACTCCAAGCCCCCGCCCCTGAGTCCCGGATTCAGTGCAGTGCAAGAACCTCCTCCACCAAAATAAAACCCTAACAGTCGGTCTAGAAAGAGCCGGATCCACGACAAGAGAGCAACAAGTTTTTTAAGCGCCTATACCCAAGTATGTGCTCAGGATAATAAGTCTGTGACTTGCCTCGATGGCTTATGCAACAATCGGTCCTTAACCGACCAGACAGGGAAAGCTGTGTAACCAAGCCATGCCCCGCATCCACGGCGACACAACCTCTTACACCCACCAATACTCAAACCATATCCCTGTCCGGTCACCAGTTTATCTTTCCACCATTTATATTTTTCAAGTGATAATAATACAGTAATATATTTCCTATCTCTCGTGAGTGACAGGCAATCACTCGACTTCTACCGAGTCCTGTAGCATAGCATTCTACATGATCCTGTCATATTAGTAAGACCCATAGGATAAAGATATATATGCAAGTGGGTTTCATTCAACTCCTTAAAACTTAATGCACAAATATAATTTAAACTGCAGAAAAGTAGGGATTATGCACCGGGGCTTGCTTGGGTAAGATATATTAAAAGTTAGTATCTGCATGTTCAGATCATCTGGATAGAAAGCCCATTGCATCACCTCCTAGAGAGAATAACATTACACCATCTTCGGATGCCCAATCATCCTTCGATCGATCCGTTGATCTATCATCGTACCTATATGATATACATGCGATGCAATGCAAAGATATAAATAATCGACGATAGCCAAAATGCTTCGAAATCCGATCACGCCTCACAAGCTAACGAGGTAACTCTAACGCTGGTCTACGTATCCATGTCGCCGAATAAGACATTATTTCCCAATAATTATTTTAGTTATATAATTCGAAATGATTTCGTTATTTCATTCTATTGATTTAATCGTTATTCGAAATAGAGCATCATTATCTACCTAGCAAACTAATTATTATTGAGCTACAAAAATTACAGTGAGTAGATAATAATATTAGTAGTTTACTGTCAAATTTTTAGAGTCAACACTATTACCGATTTATCCCGGAAATTCCTACAAGTTCACCTTTTAATAATATTAAGCATTTTAAAATAATTATATAGCTCCCAAAAATATTGCCAAACTTTGTGAACAAAATATATTAACAGATAGAGCATGATTTTAGGGGACTAACAAAACTAGTTTCATAATTTTTGGACTCCTATACCATTTTATATCGATTTTACAATTAGACTTGGAAACTAAACTGACAAAGGCTTTAGAAATCGTAAAGGGCCGGCGGCAACAAATTCGGCCCGGCAGCCACCGTGGCCCACGCGGGAGAGACTGCGCGCGCAGCAGGCCGGCCCAACAAGCAGAGAGCCCGCGCGCGCCGGCTTCTTTTCAAAAACGACCCCGAGCTTTGCGATATTTATACCAACACTATCCGCACTATTCCTACCGACAGTAGTTTCACGACCAGGCCCTCGTACTATCAGTCTTTACAACAGGGCGGTCCTAGGGACCCCCGCGCACGATGGCACGGCTCCGGCCGGTGCTGCGCAGCCACGCCGGCCATCTGGGACCCACACTGACTCTGCTAAGAGGTCGACCACCACCTCTGACTCGAACGGTGACGCTAGGTGTCCACAGGAAGCTGCGATGCGCACCCACGTGAGCAGAAGCGGCGGGCGGCGATTCACGGCGGTGGCTAGGCCGTTCTGGTGAACCTACGCACTCACGGGCGAGTAGAGATAGCAGAGAAGCAACAACAGCTTACCACGGTGCATGCTATGGTGACGGTTGGAGTGGAGGGAGGCCGAAGAACTCCAGCCATGTGCGCCCGCACCGCGTGGCGGCGCTCCGAGCCGGGCACTCGCACGTCACCTCGTCACCGACGGCGGGCCTGGTCAAGATAACGTGAGCATCGGAAAGAGGGGGTCGCGGTGAGTCCAAGGGCACAAGCAATCGAATTGCTATCGATCACGCGAGCCGTACCTCCCAACTTACCAACTTGGCGGCACACATGACCGACGGCGAGCCCAACACCAAATTGGCCGACCACAGTACACACCTGAGGCCAGGTGCGGGTTGGGTTGCTAGATAACCACCTAAGCTACTTGCAGAAGTGAGGAATTGGGCGGTGAGGCCTCGAGCCAAATGAATTGGAAGGGCGGGGAGCACGGTGCCCTAGCTGTGGTCATGTCGCGGAGCAGCACACGGCGAGCCGAGCGGTTTAAGACCAGGCGAGGGCCGCCCGGTAGCAGCAGCACGTGCACCTGAGTACCGACGATGAGACCGGGAAACCTGGCGTGACGTGCTGGGTAGGAGGAGTCAACCCCGAGTAGTCCCTCTGGCGTCGGCTAGCGGGGCAGCAACGTAGAGGCGCACGCCTCGACACAGGGGTCGGGGCTAGACGGCCATCACGCAACGGCAGTGGCGTACACCCAGGGGCACGGTGAGGCAGGGAGACGTCGCCAACAGCGTGGCTGGGCCAGGCAACCTTGGCGTGATGGTAGCGGCAAACGTCCAAAGACATTGCATGACAGATGGTCGAGGGGTGGAGCGGGCCACGGCCAGCGTCCAAAGAAGACAAAGATCACAGCAGAGCGGCACACCGGCCAGATCCGGCGAATCCGGCTCACCTGCGCATACAACCAACCAAATAAAGCTTGATGGCGTGCGGATTTTGAAACAAGCCAAAACTCGAACCTAGCTCGGTTGAGGTTCAACCCAAAACCACTACCCTAAAGCCGATCATACTAGATATCTAACGGAGCAATCCCAAAGACCAGATGATGACCGGAGGGGGAGACAGAGGTATGCGATAGGTTCATCGCGCCGAACGCCGGTTCGCGAACAGAGTGCCAACCACATGTTCACAGCGCGCCCAATGATGTTCATGAGCTTATTTAAAAGTTTTTAAGCACTTAAGAAAAATTGATTAGCACTACTTATGTTGATTTTTCTCAGCCACAAGGGTGAAGTCACAAACGGTTCGTTTATCATTTCATGATCATTTGAAAAAAAATTAAAATTAGAGAAACTCGTTTCAGTAATTCCTCTCAGGTCTTAACCTTGGTGCTAAGGAAGCTCGTAACACCGAGGTGTTATAGAACACATCTTGTTACCAACAGCAAACTGCATTAATTGCAGGAGAAATCTACATCTACTACCTCTATAATGTGTTTTTCAATCTTTGGCGAGCTGCAGATTTTTGGGGAAGGAAAGGACCTCAAATGACCTCTTTGTATTTATTATTTTTGTTGGTTGTTTGCGCGTCCAAGTGTCCTATTTTTCTTAATATATTTCAGATCTTTGAGACACTTTCTAGTTCCTCTTTCAGAAAAATTTTCAAATAGGAGAACCATTTTAATCAAACAGTAAAATTAATTAGGATATTTTATAGTGATAGCAAAACAATTCTAATAAACCATAATTAATTTTTAAAAGAGACAGTAAAATGTGCCCCATATCTGATAAAAGTTAAAGCATATAATTTGGTCATGAATAGGGCTCTTGTTTTATTCTCAACAAAATGCTTTTCTTGTCTGCATTCCGAAGGGGAAAAGGGGCGAGCAGAGAACCCGTATTTAACGACAATACACTCGCAGTACTGTGCTGTGTGCTGTAGTAGTGTAGTACCACCGTCCCTTTCCTCCGGAGTTCAAACAACTACTGATCCAGAGGCGGGCGGCCCATGCCGCCACCGCCGCTTCCAGGACCACCTCGCCAGCGCCGTCGCAGCGGCGCCCCCTCGCAGCTCCCCTGAGTCACGCCCTCTGGCCGCGGGACATGGTCCAGTCGCGGCGGCGCGGCGGCAACTACCGGTGCCCGCTCCGCGCCGCACTGCCGGCGGCGGCGCTCCTGCTCTTCCTCCTCGCCGCCGTCGCGCTGCTCTACGTCTCCCCGCCTCCGCTCTCCGACCACCCCGTGGTCGCCTCCTCCCGCCGCCGCCGCTCGCCCCATGCCCTGGTATTGCATCGCACTAGTGACCTAGCCGCATTTGCTTTTTTCTCCACATTTCCGATCTAACTTGTCTTGCTTTATGCGTGTGTGCTCTCGCTCGCGCAGCTGAACAGCTCCGGCGGCGGTGGCATGGAGGAGTCCGAGCGCCGCGAGATTTCTCGTGCTCCGGTAATTATGCGCTTCTCCGGTTAGACTGAGCGCAGCAGATCATCACTAGTCTTTATCATGTTTATTAGTAGAGTTGTGAGTTCAATTCTCTGAAATACCTCCTGCTCGTGTGACTTGTTGATTAGTTTGGGTGATGTTTGCTGTAATTAGTAGGTAAATGAATTGGGTTCCACTTCATGTTCCATTTTTCGGCAAATTAGATTGTGGCAAGCTATTGGATTATTATTTTGGTGTTATTTTATTCTACACGAGTGAAATTTACTTGCTCTAGTAGATGTTTGAGCTTAACTGGATTTTATTTATGTTGCCATAAAATTATTTTGAAATGCATGCCTTTATCTTCAGAGCTCCTGCATCATAATTTGGTTGCATTTTCCCTAAGGCATGTGAAGTTTGAGTTTTACTTTTATAATTGACGAGTTCATTACAACATTCTTTAAAATGTAGACGAATGGTTCGACCGTCAGGGATGACCTTTGGGGTTCAAAGCTTGCTAGCAAATTTTATGGGTGCAGCAACTCAAGCAGCAAGTTCCTTGGTAGGCAAACTTTTTGAAATCCACTGTTGGTCGAAATTTGGTGAAGCTGCATAGGACATTTTATTTGTTCCACAGTTCTACAAGGCCACCAATGCTAGGTGTTTAGTTGTAACTAATGGTTTTGAAATTCTGGAAATAGTTTTGACTGTATCTCTTAATTCATTTTACCTGAAGTAGTTATTGTTTCAAAATTGTGTAGATTCAAACATTACTACCCAACCAGACCGCTATTTGATGATTGTTACAAGTGGAGGCCTGAATCAACAGAGAACAGGGGTAAGCGTGTGCTACATTGTTTTTTTTCCCATAAATAATTTTGCACATGGATGGGTAGGGGTGTAGGACAAAGCATGTGTTACAACCTTGTTATACATGTTTATGCACTGCTTTACGGTCTCATTGTTTTCTAATTATAGTAAACCATAAAGCTCTTGAATTTGTACTAAAATCTGCACCAAATGCTATGATTCTTTTCCGATGTTTCCCTGTGCTGAGTATCCAGACTCTGAAGTAATGCAACAAATATATTGTCAAGTGGCTAAACTAATACTAGATTCATCTAATGCACAAAGAAGCTAATGTTCTGTATCCTATGGTCTGCCAACTTTCCTTTATTTATATAATTTGGAAGGATGTTTTTTTTTCCCAGGCAAAGCATGATACATACAATTAATATGAATATGTAATGGCCCATATCCATAAACAGAATTAACTGTGTAAACTTGGATCATCCTTTTATGGATTATGTAGTCCTTAACTTAAAACATACTCCTTCCGATCCCAAATATAACTTCATCTAGCCTTGCCCTAACTGCACCAAATGTAAGTCAATGATAACTTCAATGCATCTATTTGCTTCATTCTTCCATGTCTACCCCTCCTCAGGTGAACACTAATCAGTGCAATACACTTACCACCCATCTTAACTCTAGCAATGATTGATGGGCAATATAGTCATTGTAATTCACCTTAATTCTTGTGCCCCAGTCCAAATGGACTTATATTTGAAATCAAAGGAAGTTTAGAACCTCAATGTATATATATAAACATTAGAAATTATCAGCTGATACTTATAATATCCATACTGTTGCTTAAAAGTATATAGTGTCAATCCTCTTGAATCCTGACTAGTGCCCGGGAACATGTTGAAAACTTGAAATTTGAGGCCTGCCTGTACTACTAAGTTCTAATAAGAGTCTCCAGGAGTGATTTTTTATGCTTTAGTGATAACTTGTAATACTTATATGCCTTTTGGTTCCATGCTTGTTGTTATCTTTATAGACCTAATTAACATGTGCAGTGCTCTTTCAGATAATTGATGCTGTTGTTGCTGCACGTATTTTAAATGCCACACTTGTTGTTCCCAAACTAGACCAAACATCCTTCTGGAAAGATTCAAGGTTAGTTTGGAGTGCAAAGCATTTCTATGCCAGAATCTTCTAAGGCTTCTTGTGTTTCTAAGACGACTTCAGTGCATTTGGGTTGTACTTAATATAACTTTTGCTGCAGCAATTTTTCGGATATTTTTGACACCAACTGGTTCATCTCATCTCTATCAAAGGATGTAAAGATTGTGAAAGAGCTTCCACATATAGGAGGTAAACTTTGGGCTCCTCACAGGATGCGTGTTCCCCGAAAATGTACTGAGCGGTGTTACTTGAACCGTGTGTTGCCTGCACTCCTTAAGAAACATGTAAGTCATTGTATTGTAGCTGTGTTTGTTAATTTGTTACCAAGATACATAAGTTTTATATATGCTGTTATCTTGTGACTTAACCAATTTCATCCACTTGTGTATATATTCCCCGAGCTATGAGATATTTACTCATTAAGCTCCACAAAAATATGAGGCTTTTTCTGTGACTATTTTAGATTCTTTTACTTTCTTATTTTGAGTATTAAGATATCAGTTCTTTCACTTGATGCAGGTTATCCGATTGACGAAGTTTGATTATAGATTAGCAAACAGGTTACAAACTGACTTGCAAAAGTTGAGATGTAGAGTCAATTATCATGCATTGAGATTTACTGCTCCAATTCAAGAGATGGGTGAAAAGCTAATACAAAGAATGAGGGAGAGGAGCAAGTATTTTATTGCTCTTCATTTGAGGTGCACTCATATAAAATTCTCATGTTTCAAATCACATATATCATTTCCTTTTTATACTAATAATTGAGAGGAGGATGGGCATAATGCAAATGACATAGTTTCTTAATTTCTTTGTATAAGCAGATTAGACTTGAAACCATTTAGAGATTAGAAGCTAGAACATTGGGAGCGCTTTCATCACCTGAGCTAGGGTGTGCTGGATGTTGGTCTCCCTCTAGTGTCAATGTGGCCTCGGCCTCTTGATTCGGGTTGTGGTAGGGTAGCACATATCATGAAGTTAGAGGGACAACTTAAGGAGGGTCCTCAACTTCTGCCTTGGCAGTTTGTCTTATCAAGGAAGACGTGTATTCTGTAGAATGGTATTGCGTGGACACAATAAATGTTAATGCAATGATAACCTTTGATTCATAGATACCTAGCATTATTTGGCCAATAGGACCAGTATGGTAGAAGAGCATGTGTGATCACGTGATCTTATAGTCTGAAGTTGCAGGATTTTATATTTTTTATGACTAAATCTAAATCTTACAAATACCTTTTCCCAGTTCATGTAAGTTTCCTTTACAGCTCGTAATGATATTGATCTTTTTCTTGTCCCTTCCCTAAACATTATTCCTTTTGCAATGTCAGATTCGAACCTGATATGCTTGCCTTTTCGGGGTGCTATTATGGTGGCGGAGAGAAAGAGAGAGAGAACTTGGTGCTATAAGGAAGAGGTGGAAAGGCTTGCATGTATGTATGCTACTGTGCTATCATATGGCAGGTACCTTGGAAAACCATGATCGAATTTCCTAATGCAACATCCGCTGTTCTGTATTTCAGCTTAACCCAGAGAAGGGAAGAAGGCAAGGTAGATGCCCTCTAACTCCTGAAGAGGTGGGTCTGATGTTGAGAGCCCTGGGCTACAGAAAGGATGTCCACATCTATGTAGCTTCTGGAGAGATATATGGAGGTGCAAGGACTCTGTCACCTCTTAAAGCTCTCTTCCCCAATCTCCACACAAAAGAAACAATATCTAGCAAAGAGGAGCTGGCTCCATTCTCTAAATATTCCTCTCGCATGGCTGCACTTGATTTCATTGTCTGTGATGAAAGTGATGCTTTTGTGGCTAACAACAACGGCAACATGGCTAAAATTTTGGCTGGACGAAGGTATCTGTTGCTGTGCTCTTCTCGTATAACTTATGTCATTGGTGGTTTATTACTTGCCCTGACCATATTTCGTGCCCTCTGCAGGAGATACTTTGGGCACAAGAGAACGATCCGACCAAATGCCAAAAGGCTCTATCCCTTATTTTTGAACAGAGGAAACATGTCATGGGATGCATTCTCCTCAAAAGTACACATGGTTCAGAAAGGATTTATGGGGGAGCCCAAAGAACTGAGGCCAGGGAGGGGGGAGTTTCATGAGAACCCCTCTACCTGCATCTGTGAAAGGACTGATGGCAAAGCAGTAGCCAGGGCCAAATCTCAAGATGATCAAGTATTGAATAGTGGTGCTGATCGAGGCAAAGGCATTGGCGAGCCAGCTGTTCCTAATCATACTGATGAAGAGGTGGGCGAACCTGATGATGACGAAGATGCCCCTGCAGAGAGAGAGATTGTTGATGCTGAAATGGACGACAATGTGTTGGTCGGACCAGAGGATCCTGAGCTAGAACAGATTCTTTCAGACTAGTATCCGGCATCAAAGATGTTTGCACAAACCAATTTTTGGCTGAGTGATTGACGAATTTTGCCCCGCCCCTCTAAATTGTACATATTTTTTGCGATGTAAATGTACGTATACACCCGATCTACTCTAGCTTAGCTCGCAGCCTCCTTACTCAGTAGCCCCTTTGTAACATTTGTGGATTGTTATAGCTTGTATCATGGGTTTTGCTTTTGTGTAGCAACTCTTTGATGCCCTTTTTGTGTAAGCATCTTAGGGCATGTAGAATGTAAGGTGCTTACACACGGACAATTAAGGAGAGAATGTTGTTATACCATTAATAATTGATATATAAGTTAATTGCCTAGATAGACTAAGTCATCTTGTTAACACACATTAAGCATTGGTCTTAAGGACCATTTGAGTTTTATATTTTAGTAGCTATTCTTTAAGAGCAACTTCAAGAGATTTGGTAAAATTAGATGCTAAATTATGAGATTTAACCATTATGTAAAATAGAAAGTCTATCTAAAATGTAGAGTTTTACAATAGCCTAGCTAAATTGGAAAACACAGATAGCTAGCAGGACTCGCTAGGAAAATATGGCCAGCGAGAATTGAAAAAATAGAAAACAATATAGACAAGCTGTTGGAATGTTTTTTTAGAGCACAATAGCTATAAATAGCTTCACGAATACATTTATCCAGTCTGTTGGAGTTGCTCAACGCTTGAAAAATATGATATGATACTTAGCATCTTATCCATCTTCTAAGCATCAGTTATGAATAGTCTAGTGAAGAAAATACGGTTATACATGCTCTTCAGGAACAATTGTGTAGCCAAATGGCGTTGCCTCAGGCCCATGAACCAGCATAACCTATAAATGCTTCTCCCGTTGAATGCTCTGGCTGTTGGCTACATACCTAGCAAACAATTGTGTAGCCAAATGGCGTTGCCTCAGGCCCGTGAACCAGCATAACCTATAAATGCTTCTCCCGTTGAATGTTTGGTTGTTGGCTACATACCTAGCAAACAGTAATGCCCGTTGGGAAACTGGCAAAAAGAGAAGACCAATGAACCAGCATAACCCCGTTGGGAAACTGTCAAAGAATAATCATGAAATCAAGTTGTCTATTACAATGGAAACAATATTGACCTCCTCGTCTGGTCATTGCCAAACTACAACTATATTTGTCCAATTGTCCTTGTCTAGACATCACTGGACTACAACTATGTTTATCTCTATATTGGTAGACCCATATAGGTATGAGGAAAATTAGGGATAAGCAATATGAGCTGAAAAGTTACAATGCAACACACAACGACCAATATGACGTGAAGCAACCATATTCTCCACGTTCAACCCCCTCTTGCTGGCCGGAGGCACACAGGGTGCTTAAACTGTTAAGCATCATCACATTGTTAGCTTGTTATGAAATTGCAATATGAGAAGTCATCAGATTGACGAACGGTGGATGTCATAATATAAACTAATTGAATCCAAATGTAATCTAAATTCAAATGAAGCATTGTGCATTGATGATCCTGTACAAAGCAAAGAATTTCACTTAATCAATACAAAATCTGTACATATGTGGTTTGTCTTCCTCCAGTCGGCTCTCGCTCAACTTCGAATGTGAAGGTGGCTTTTTTTCTAAAAGCTAATTTGCCTCCCATTATCTTCTTTAGTAACAATAATAGCATGATGAACAAATAGAGACCGGGTGAGTGTATTATATAGTAGTATGCATCTGAGAGACTATCAAAAACTTCGTTACGTAATAGCTGCTCTAGATGCATGACTGACTTGTGTGTACTGGTAATGCGAGATTTCTACCTATTTCAGTTTTAGCTATAATTTTGTGAATCATCACACATCTCAAGTTATTATCATTCATTTTTCACAATAATATTGTGAGTCACCACACACAATCACACGTTTTCGCGCACCCTCGCCCGCTCCTCGTGCCTCCCGCCGTGCCGCGATCCATCCGTCTGTTGACCGTGGGCGACCTCAAGCTCCGCGTCGGCGTCGAGCTCCGCGTGAACGAGCCTCTATTGTGGTGCAGCAAGTAGATGAGCACATGTTGCAATCGTATGTTTCATACGTTTTAGATGTATGTTACATGTGTTTCATCTGGATGTTGTAAAAGTAGATCTGATGTTGTATATGTTGCAATGATTATACACGTATGTTGCAAGTATACGTTTTAAATGTTTAGCTATTTTAAACGTATGTTGTAAGTGTTTTTCTAGATGTTGCATATGGTGCACTGGTTATACACGTATGTTGCAAGTGTATGTTTCAGCTGTTTCAAACGTATGTTGTAAGTATTTTTATCTAGATTTTGCATATGTTGCAGTGCCCATACACATATGTTGCAAGCATTTGTTGTAAATATTTTCATCTATTTCGGACGTATGTTGCAACAAATGCTTTTTGGTGCAAGTGTTTCATCAACAGACGCGGCTAGGGGCGCAAGTAGAGGTGGTCCCCTCTGGCGCAGCTGTCCCCACGTGTGTGTGGGAAGCCAAGCGGGTAGGGCTGGACAATAATCGTGGCTCGCCAACTCGCTCGACTCATGGCCGGCTCAGCTCGGCTCATTTTAACTTTTTCACGAGTTGAGCTGGAAGTCTAGCTCACTATTTTAACGAGCCAGCTCCAGCCAACTCGTGAGCTGCTCACGATCTGAGACCTATCAGCCTACGACCATGAATCCAGAAGATGATGATACTGACCTAGAAGTGTACATCTATTCTATTGGTATGTAATTCTTATTTTTAGTTGTTTCATATGAATTTTAATTTTATAATTATTGTGGTACTTAAATGTCGATGGATTGTTTTTTAGGGAGAAGATGATGATGCTGACATTGAATTTATGGACTTTTCTAAGTTTACAGTGACAAGCAACTAGTTAGTATGCTGGAACTGCATGATCATGGATGGACCAGCTATGTTGCATGGTTGATACTTTTGATGAACTTGATATGTATTAATCGTGTATGGTTGCATAATGGTGAACATCACCTTCTAAAATTAATGTAGCATAAACATTATAAACATATGTGTCCTATTTTTTTTATAGTAGCTCGCGAGCTAAACGAGCCAGCTCGAGCTCGATAACGAGCCGAGCCGAGCTGCCCCTCTAGCTCATAATATTAATGAGCCGAGCCAAGCTCGCTCGTTAGCCTAACGAGCCAAGCCGAGCTGGCTCGATATCCAGCCCTACAAGCGAGCACGACAGCAGGCACGGAACACAAAGCTATATCCATGAACGTGGTAGTAGACGTGGAGTGTCGGGTTCATAAACCTAGGGTCCCTCGGGGACCAGCTTCCACGCTTCAGGGCTCGGCCTAGGAAAACAACACGTAATTCATGGGCCGGCCCAAGAGTCTAAAGCACAACGGGCCGAAAGGACAAGTCCGGTCGCCGACCGAAAGGTCTACCCAAAAGAACAAGCGCCCGCTCGTCAAATTTCTTCGGCCCACCTCTCCTACCGGAGCATTCGCTTTGGGCACTAGCCGCCTCCGGGCGGTCTCTCCGATCAGAAAGGCCTAGCCCAAAACACCGCTTCTTACTCCGACCCCGCGTCTCTGATCGGGGACCCCGTAGGAAGCCTGCTTACCACTCTTCTCCAACTGGTGCGGCCAGGGCCGACTGGGGCCATCCGACTAGGGACGCCCACTCGGAAGGCACCAGAGACAAACGGAGAAGGCAGTGCACAAAGTCAAACCACGATACCGGGACCATACCCTGTACGCCTGTGGGAACAGTGCTCCTCAACCGCCCTGACACAAATAGTATTGTAGGCACCGACATTTGTGTCTACATTATTGTAGGCGCCATTGGGCTCCCATACGGCAAAAAACCCCCACATACCTCTGGGCATCAATAGTGGGCGCCAGGGTTCACCATACCTAGTACACAGGGTAGGGCTCCTCACATACCAATAGTATTTTGCAGATATCGACATCCACCATTCTTGAAGAAGCCAATGCAACCTCCCATGTGCACCTGACATTCTACAGTGACGTCGACAGTTTTGTGGGTGCCTACCATCATCACTGTCCTCATCGGCATGGGCAACAAGACTTAGTAACATCTGTACTCTCTCTCTCTCACCTGTAAAAGCCATCCCCTTCTTCTATAAAAGGGGATGCGCTCCCTCCAACGAAGGAGGTCGACTTCTTCAAGCACCAGATTCACTAGATCGATAGCTCACAACCCCTCAAACACCCGCTTGAACACCTAGCTCATAGCGGAGTTTCGGTCACCCTCGGCCCTTCCAGTCGGACTCGACCGGGCCTCTCGTACACCCCACCTTTCTCCTTCTTGTTTGTAACCCCACTACAGACTTCGAGCACCTAGGCTCAGGAATAAAGTCACCGACCGACCCACACTGGACGTAGGGCACGTTGCCTGAACCAGTATAAATCCTATGTCATTGAGTGCTAGGCCATATCCGATCACAACGTACAACAAAACTATAAATATTCACTAGTTGGTCACTTTCTGTACCGACAGTTGGCGCCATCCGTGGGGAAGACGCTGTATGTTCAACACTTTTTTGTCATCGGATGACCCATTTTTTCACCACCCCCGCCGTGGCGGGCTCGGGCGATACGATTCGCTACGGCTCGCTGGTGTATCCCGCACCCTCGCCTGCGGGGATGTGGGTTCCACCCGTTTTTGAGCCATCCCAGGCCTTCCTCTTCGGAAGCCTGGACTTCATCATCGACCGGCTTGGCGTACTCCACCTCCGCGAGGAGACTCGCGACCCGGCACCCGTCGGAGAGACGTCCTCCATCGACTCTGGGACGCGCGACCTCAACGGCGCGGCATCTACGCTTCATTCCGAGCAAACTCTCTGCTCAAACCCCATTGTAAGTAATATGTGTACTTTTATTCGCCCTTTATTTACTACCTCCTACCGATCACCCGGGGGGACTACACCGCCTACACCACAAACACTGTACGATCGGTTCCCCTACGGCCTCGCGTCCTCCGCGGATGCTTGCGCTCAG